GTTCGCGGACGACACCACCCTCATTGGACTCATCTCCAACAACGATGAGTCCGCCTACAGGAGGGAGGTGGACCGGCTGGTGTCCTGGTGCAGTGGTAACAACCTGGAGCTGAACGCCCAGAAGACAGTGGAGATGATTGTGGACTTCAGGAAGAGCACTGTCCCCCCGCCCCCACCCTCCGTGATGGACTCCCCCATCACCTCTGTGGAGTCCTTCCGTTTCCTGGGCACCACCATCACCCAGGACCTCAAGTGGGAGCCGACCATCAGCTCTCTCATCAAGAAGGCCCAGCAGAGGATGTACTTCCTGCGGCAGCTCAGGAAAGCCAAGCTGCCTGCACAGATGTTGGTGCAGTTCTACACGGCCATCATCGAGTCCATCCTCACCACCTCCATCACCGTGTGGTTCGCTGGAGCCACAGTCAGGGACAAACAGAGACTACAGCGCATTGTGCGCTCTGCAGAGGAAGTGATCGGCCGCAGCCTTCCATCGCTGCAGGACCTGTACGTCGCCCGAGCTCGAGGCCGGGCTGGTCGTATCACAGCCGACCCCTCTCACCCTGCACATGGACTATTCCAACCACTCCCCTCAGGCAGGAGGCTGCGGTCCATCAGGACTAGAACCTCCCGCCACAAGAACAGTTTCTTCCCCTCTGCTGTTGGACTCTTGAACACTTCTTAACCTGTCCCCCCGCCCTTTATAAAGTCACTTTACTGCCCATCATACGTCACTTTACTTCACTGTACTGCTGTCACCTTACATTGTGTGCACCATGTGCACTTGTATATTGTAAATAGTAACTGTAACTCTATTTTAAATTTAAATTTATTCTTTAGAAGTGTTTTTTATTCTTATTTTTATTATCTCTTTTTGACTGTTGCACTGAGCCAAAGCAATTTCCAAGTCTGTGACCTCCCGTTACTTACGTTGGCAATAAAAATGATTCTGATTCTGATTCTGATTCTGATTCTGATTCTGATTTGTTTTTTCAGATTTATGGCATAGTGTAATGAGAGAAAGTCAGAATGAGTGGAAAACTTCCATCCAGTGGCAGAATTACATTTTGTTTTATAGTTAGCATCTATCATGGCACAGCCTAATTAAAGGCACACCGTGAAAAACGTTGTTTTAATGGAGAAACTACAAAAACTAATTTAGAGGATAAATGGATAGTTGAAGTGCATGTCGGCTCTTTCACCGGCTCTGTTCACTGTTTTTAGATTGCTTGGCACAGTCAGGGGTTGAACAGCTCCGGATTGGGAACCTAGGATTATAACCCTGTTGTTAGCAGCGTCTGCAGTCAGAGCTCTGGATTTACCAATCTACCAGTCTACGTTCCCACCCTCACCCATTATCATTAGCTTTGGGGAAGGACTTCACGTGGATGATATCCAAACATATCATCGCCTCATTTTGGCATGAAATCAACTGGTCACATTGGGAAATTGCATTTGTGTAAATTGTGTATAATAAGAATTAATTGAACTCAGTAGGTGCCAAATGGGGGGAAACTTGAGCCAGGTCATTGTTGTGAGGTCTGTGTGGAGCCACTTTCATTAGAATAGGCCTCGTCTGTCTCAGATCACTGGGTGTCACGGAGGATCTGTGGGTGCAATCCTGCTCCAATTTGGTAAGAGACGGTTCAGCCAGAGAGAGTAAGAGTGACAGTCTCTTTCAAATGTGCCCTTGGACAGCCGCATAATTGAAGGTGGCAAACAAAGAAAGGGCCAAAATTACTCACAAAATACCATAGAGTTGCTTTATGCACACCGATTTGAATGATATTTTCAATGTACAGGTAAGAGATGTGTTTCATTTTCAGGCAAAATACAGATTCCCCAGTATTATGATTAAGCTATCTACATTTACATTAAATTAGAATCTTATAGCACAACTAAACAGCACTGTTTTTAACCTGGTTTTAAACATTGTCAGAGAGGAGGCCTGTCTCACATCTTCAGGAAGATTGTTCCAGATTTTAGCGGCATGAATCTGAAAAGCAGCCTCCCCATGTTTAGTTCTGACTCTGGGCACTAACAGGAGTCCAGTCCCTGTGCTCCTCAGAGTCCGGGCTGGTTCATATGGGACTAACATGTCACTAATATATTTTTGTGCGAGGCCATGGAGACATTTGTACACAAGCAGAGCTGTTTTAAAGTCTATTCTCTGAGCCACAGGAAGCCAGTGCAGAGACCTGAGGACCGGACTAATGTGGTCGTACTTCCTGGTTCTAGTCAGGACTCGAGCTGCTGCATTTTGAATGTACTGCAGCTGTTTTACAGCCTGTTTGGACAGACCTGTGAGCAGGCCATTGCAGTAGTCTAACCTACTGGAGACAAATGCATGGATAAGAATCTCCAAGTCTGCTTTAGACACTATGTTTTTGTTCCTGGCAATGTTTTTTAGATGGTAAAAAGCTGCTGATGTTACTGATTTGATGTGTCTATTAAAATTTAAGTCTGAGTCCAGTATTACCCCTAGATTTCTGACCTTGTTTGAAGGTTTTAGGGAGAGAGACTGTAGATGACAAATGACGCTCTCTTTGTTTCTGGGGACCAAAGACAATAATTTCAGAATGTGATTTCCCACTTCAACCTTTTAGACTGGTGATTTTGTTATATTATATTTTACCCATAATTTTCTCCAGGAATTCCTTCAATTTGTCTTTTCCCTCAACGTCCTAACCATTTCTTTCTATGGATTGCTCTTAGTCTAATAGCAATAATATTGTTAGAGATTGAGCCAATAACAGTTTGTAGTTGAAGTCCACTTTGCTTTACACGTCTCTTTGCTATTTGAACCGCAGTCATTACACAGCTGCTCTACTTGAGACGGCGCCATTATCTGTGTAGGCTAATCACTGGCCGACCTCCCCCACATAATTACTATGCAGTGGCTCGTGTTGTGACAGAAATGAGATGGATTTGCCGCAACAAATTGATATGAGTGTGCAATAGTCACTCACCCTAATCAAATGTGACTCAAGGAATGTGAAGAAATTCATCAGCTGTTTGCGATCTCATCCAGTGTTATGGACATTAAAAACAGGCATGCTTTTGTTCTGACCTTGCTTTCCTGCTAACCACTCCTTCAATACATAAAGCACATAAACAACCTCTGCATCCAAATTCAAAGTAAAAGGGGCTCCTCTCATTTAAATCAGGAGACGGCAAAGCTCCAGATTTGGTCAAGTGAAAAGTTAAGTGGCGTTCACAACGAAGCATGGAAAGTCAATGGTGTCAGAGCTAGAACTTGTCTGCATCAAAACCCATGGCATAGTGTTGGTTTTACTAAACCCATGCTGGTGATTTTTAGTGAAAGTGCATCCAAGGCGGTGGACACACAGTTAATTTTGCCATTGTCTGTTTCTTGCCAAATTTTATGAAATTTGCCATTAAATTGCTTTCGTCCCATGTGTTTACTGGCTGCACCTTAACACAGTCAGTGCATGGATGAATTACTATCTGTAAAGGCTATTGTTAGCTACGTTGTCCCCAATGATGGGTTGACAGACGTGGGACTCAAACAGGACTAAAGTAGGACTGAAGTAGGACTATACTGTAGCAGGTGTATTAAGCAGGACTGAACTTGGACTAAAGCAGGTCTGAAATACAGACGGAGGGCTTTTAACATTTCTGGAATCAGCATCCTTTCTGTGTTAATGGAAGTTCAGACATCAACTTCAGAAAATGCCTAGATGACTAAACTGTGGTGGGCATTCTTTAATTTTCATGTTTTCCTACTTCATTTTGGTTGAAGTTGTATGTGTAATCAACCGACGTGCTTTTCGGGCACCACCGAGACTGCACTAGTATTTTTTAACGACCAGAAATGCATTATATTTCATAGCTCTGTGAATGGCTCTAAGCTCCGTGAATGGCCTTGAGTTCTGCAGAGTGGAAAAAGCTACACATTCCCTGCGTGAGGTAAATCCGGAGTAAGACAGCGTTTCATGTTGCCATCCATCATAAGCTCTTGTCTCGCACATTCATCTGACGCGCTGTAAATTGAGCACTGTAAAAAAATATGGCTGATGCTTCAAGATCTGTGCGCGGATTGATAATACTGACGTAACGCATGAGAGATTCTGGATGCTTGTTTGGGTGATTTCCTACTCGGCGGAGGGGATGGGAAGGCACCGCTGATGGATGGCTGAAGGGCCAGGCGCTTGCGTTGGGGGCCCTGGTTGTCGTGCGTAGATAAAGCGTTTATGTTGGATTAAATGAGGAGCTATCAGTCAGACACACTGCAGCATACGGTCTTATTTATTCAATGTGGAATGGCGCACATTTATCAACATAGATCCAGAGCTTTTTCCAGACCATCTTTAAACCAATTCGTCAAAGGATGTCCAGTGCTCCTGGTCGACAAGCACCAAGAGTTTCCCCTGAGAGGTTTGTTTTGCCATTATTTTAGTAATTCTGGTCTGAAACCACTAACATCTAAATGTAGAAGTGTGAATTATAAAACCTATAATAACCATACATAAGAATAAAAACATTTTAAAAACTCAGCTTTGTGTGTTGAATATGTTGTGTATATAGTCAGTGTGTGTTCTTTATCACTCAAACCTAATAGCTGAGAATCGGTAATGACACTATGGCCTCCGGTGACTCACTCTTACTATAAATGGGAATCATCTGCGTTTAATATACACAAATACACATGAAAAATAAAATATATAAAAAATAATTGTATTAATATACAATACAATTAAATAATTAATTCAAGACTCTCCACAGCAAAAATTCACTGACAAAGAGACAGTGAGGGGGCTTCCACCTTGTGGCAATCTTCTTTTTGGCAGCTGTAAGCCCCACCAAGAGAACTCTTTAATTCAGCAGGAGGACCAGAAGAAATCAGGGGACCACAGGAGAGCAGGGGACCAGCATGGACCGTAGGTGTGGACTAAGTGAGTTCTGACGTCACCAGTAGTTTTTTCCAAATGCAGAAGTAACGGATTTGACCAGGGTCTAGTTGGGGCCAAATTCCAAATAGCTCAAATGAGGATCCAGAGCATGAGAGTAAGGGGACCACAGGAGAGCAGGGGACAGGGGACCACAGGAGAGTAAGGGGACCATAGGAGAGTAAGGGGACCACAGGAGAGTAAGGGGACCACAGGAGAGCAGGGGACGATAGGAGAGTAAGGGGACCAAAAGAGAGCAGGGGACCACAGGAGAGCAGGGGACGATAGGAGAGTAAGGGGACCACAGGAGAGTAAGGGGACCAAAAGAGAGCAGGGGACCACAGGAGAGCAGGGGACGATAGGAGAGTAAGGGGACCACAGGAGAGTAAGGGGACCAAAAGAGAGCAGGGGACCACAGGAGAGCAGGGGACGATAGGAGAGTAAGGGGACCACAGGAGAGTAGGGGACCACAGGAGAGCAGGGGACCATAGGAGAGTAAGGGGACCACAGGAGAGCAGGGGACCAGCATAGACCGTAGGTGTGGACTAAGTGAGTTCTGACGTCACCAGTAGTTTTTCCAAATGCAGAAGTAACCAATTTGCCTTAAAGATGTATTATTACTTAAATTCTTCCTAAACTCTTTCAAAAACTCAACAGTTGAAAGTTATCACTGCAGTTTTCTTCAGACAAATGTTTGCAACAACAGACTTGTGCTGTTTCCAGAGAAAAACTGAATAACAAAAAGCTGTAATGAAATATGGATTCAAAACACAGCGCTAAAGAGAAAAAGACCTCGGAGAGGTGCAGACTTTGCAGCTCTCTACATCTTTCATAGTTTTAGCTCGCCACAGATCATCTCCCACAGGCAAGTTCGGGCAAAAAACACATTTCCTTTTCAGCTTATCCATCCAATTATGAAGATAGTCACACACACTTGGACTTATAATATGAGTGTTTTAGCGGTGTACGTAAGCCATATGTATAGCAGATGAAATACCTGCATTTTAAGCACAGTGTTATTCATATATTAGGGATTTTTTTAGGAAAGCCGAGTTTTTTTGTGTAGCACAGTTCAAGGCCAAAAAGAAAACAAAACATGCTTATTAATTAGACACGAGCAGGATGAGCAGGAGACTCTCATTTAGTAGGTATTATGGAATAGATAACCAAAATAGAAATTCCTCTTTGGCCCACATCACATATAAAACACAAAAACAGTGAAGAAAGACATTCAGGAGTAAAAAGGTGGCACTACTAAAATACAATGAAAATAATGTACATAAAGCAGAATGCATACTTTCAATTCTGTGGCTCTGGTGATCCTACCAGTTCAGTTCAGCATGACTACATCAGAAGGGACAATTTATTTTTTGAACAGACTGTGGCCATTTGGACTTTATATTGCCTCCCTGCGGGTAGAAGCACAAAATGGAGGGTTAAAAAAAAAACAATGGTCTGACACTATGATTTTTGCTTTTCTCAGTGTCCTCTCTCCACTCTCTAAATCACAACCGGACCGGAAATCACATACATCACATCTGCAAAACTTCCTTCTTCCACCTCCGTAATATTTCAAAACTCCGCTCTTCTCTCTCTCTCTCCCGGCTGCAGAGAAGCTCGTCCATGCCTTTGTCTCCTCCAGGTTGGATTACTGCAACGCACTCCTCATCGGGATCCCTGGCAGGAGCCTTCAAAAGCTCCAGTACGTACAAAACAGCGCAGCCAGGGTCCTGATGAGGGTGCGGAAGCATGAGCACATCACCTCCATCCTTCACACCCTCCACTGGCTCCCCGTTCACCTCCGTATAGAATACAAGATCCTCCTGCACACCCACCACTGTCTCCACGGTGATGCCCCCACCTACCTCACTGACCTCCTCACTCCACACTCCTCAGGCAGAACCCGGTCAGGCCAACAGCACCGTCTGCTCCCGCCCAGGACACGGCTCAAGAAAATGGGGGACCGGGCCTTCGAGGCCGCTGCTCCCCGTCTGTGGAACACCCTCTCGGACCACCTGAGGGCCCCACAGACGGTGGAAGCTTTTAAAAAGGGACTCAAAACCCATCTTTTTACTAAAGCGTACTGCTAATTTTTTTTTATAGTCTTTTATCTGATTTTATGTGTTTGCTTCTGCTGTTTGTAGCACTTTGAGATTTGGTGTCAAATGTAAAGTGCATTATAAATAATAATACTAATACATTTTATTATTAACAAGTTTGTTTTGATCACATTTGAAAGTATCATTGCTGGTCAAGGAAATACTTCATCTCACGCCACCTTTCTACTCACATTTTCCTACACCTTTCTTTGACCTCTGCAGCAGGTTTGCTGTTGAGAGGAGAGAGCATAAATCCACAGGTAACTAGACAAGTGAAGATAACCCTTCACCTTCTGGGCGATGAGGCGTTGTTCTCATGAGTAAAAGAATGCATCATGTTTCGCCAGTTATCAGCTTCCTGGTACCATTGCCGATAAAACACTAAACACACACACAAAAAAAATCAAAAAGGAATACTCTTTGTTCTGAATTCTATAGCTATTATTTTTTGGACATTCAAAGACGCTTCACATGGCATTCACTCCATACACAGTGGTGATAAACTACTAATGTAGCCACAGCTGCCCTGGGGCACACTGACAGAAGCGAGGCAACCAGTATGTGCCATCCGCCCCTCTGACCACCACCAACCATTCGCACACCAGACTCATTCAAGGCAATGTGGGTGAAGTGCCTTGCCTAAGGACACAACGGCAGTTCGGCACTTTACAGCCACAGCGGCCTCACTGTGGCACCCGGTGTTCCCAGAGGTTAAGTGTCTTGCCAAGGACACAAGAACAGCAGACATCATTGAGAGTTTGTGGAGAAAGTCTTGTGGTGGGCTCCAACCCACACCCTTCAGGCTCAACTGCTCTACCACCTGAGCCACTGTCGCCTCTCGTCATAGTGTAACAAGTTTAAAATTAGAGCAAGAGGAACAACCTTATAGAATGTTTTCAAACTCAAAGAAGATGTTTTTGCATAATAAACCGTAATAAATTGGATATTGGTAAATAAAAAAAACCCAAAGCAGCCAAACCTTGTGGAGGTTGCAGTGTTTGTTGGTTTCTTACTTTGTAGAGTATGAGCATAGTACATACATGCTTACACTATTACCAATACTTGAGAGATTTTCATTCTTCCGACAACAGAGCAGTGTGGTTAATCTGCAGGACGCAGCGACAGATGGGCAGGCTTCTTTCAGACTGCGATCGTTAATGACCCAAATGGGACAGCGTCGTGCCCACATAATCTGTTTGTTTGGAGGAAATTTGCCAGATAGTTGTGTGTGAGAGAAATTTAGTGTCTGATTAGGAACAACACCGAAAGGATGGAGCTGCCACACTGCCTCGAAAGTAGTAATACACCTTGAACTTTTGCACATTTTGCTGTTTACAACCATGAACTTTCAGATGTTATTTTTTAATTTTCTGAAAGTTTACACGCAAGTAACAGATAACTTAAGTGAAAGAAAAATGTATTATTTTTCAAAAAATAGAAAACTAAGAAACCACTGACAGAAGTGAGGTAACCAGTATTTGTGATTGGCCCTCCCACCACCACAAACCATTCACACACCAGTCTAATTCTAATGTGGGGGTGATGTGTCTTGCTTAAGGACACAACACTTTTTGCACTTGGTGTTCCCAGAGGTATCCCATCACAAAAATAATGAGGTGCTGACTTGATGTCATTTGCGCACCTGGTCCTCCCCCACCTCAAGTCCTTAACGTCCGCCCCCTGGACCCTCGACAGTTCGCCTACAGAGCTAACAGATCTAAGACGATGCCATAAACTTCGCCCTATACTTCATCCTACAGCATCCGGACTCCTCGGGGACCTATGCCAGGATCCTGTTTATGGACTTCAGCTCTGCTTTCAACACCATCCTCCCATCCCTGCTCCAAGAATGTGTCCGATTCCACCTGTAGGTGGATCACTGACCACCTGTTCAACAGAAAGCAGCGAGTGCGTCTGCTGTAGAATGTCTTCTGGGAATATTAATAAAGGAGTCCCACAGGGCTCTGTACTTTCCCCCCTGGTCTTTTCCCTGTGCACCAACCACTGCACCTACAGCCACAACACAGTGAAGCTCAAGTTTGCGGATGACACCACCCTCATTTAACTCATCTCCAACAATGAGTCCACCTACAGGAGTGAGGTGGACCGGCCGGTGTCCCGGTGCAGTGGAAACAACCTGGAGCTGAACGCCCAGAAGACAGTGGAGATGATTGAGGACTTCAAGGAAGAGCACAGTCCTCCTGCCCCCACCCTCCCTGATGGACTCAGGTTGTATCACTGCTGACCCCTCTTACACTGCACCTGGACTGTTCCAACCTCTCCCCTCAGGCAGGAGGCTTCAGTCCTGAACCTCCCGACATAAGAACAGTTTCTTCCCCTCTGCTGTTGCACTCTTGAGCACTTCTTAACCCTGTCCTTTATAACATCACTGTACTACTGTCCCTTTCCTGCACTGCTTAATGTCTATTGTGTACACCGTGTGCACTTGTGTATTGTATATAGTAGTAATTGTAATCATTTAAAATTGTATATTTTAGAAATGTATGTGGATTCTTTCTGTGCCTTACTCTATTCTCTACTTTTGACTTGTTTGCACAGAGACAAAGCAATTTCCTAGTCTGTAACTTCCTTTTACTTACATGGCATTAAAAATGATTCTGATGTTTAGCTAGGTCTGACGGGATCAGGCTTTCAAATGCAACACTGTTAATCTGATGCATCTCGTGTTATCCTCATTGAAACACAAAATTAAGCTATGCCAACTATTTGAAGGGCAGTGTAAAGTGGATTTGGACTGCATACAAGTTGAAACATGTCTGTTATTTCCCTGGCCATTTTTAACTTAAAAGCATCTGCTTGTTTACTCCCAGTTAGTTGCGAAAGCGCATCTGCAACACCTTAATCAAAATCTCTGAATCTAATAAAGGCTTTAAATGTTAACACTAGGCCATTAATCCTGCAAGTACGCAATCTTCGGGGAAAATTACTGAATATAAAACGTACAAGAAATGTTTTACGGTAACAACATGACAAATCACCATGCATTGGGAAAACGATAGGATAAAAGCCAGCAGTCAAAGTAAATAAAATAAATCATAGAAGCCTTTGTATGGTCATTACTAATACAGTGGTTGTGTTGCTGATGAAAATTGGTTTCAGGATCAGATTTCTGCTTGTATCCAATTTGTTACAAGTGCCCAAAAATAAATTGGCTTTGGCTCCAGTTCTGCCCGGCTGCATCTCTATATTAATTGTCCGTGTAAACATACTCTTAAATTGCTGTGTGGTGGAGGTTTATGTATTAGTCGGCTGTCACTTCCCCTCTGAGAAGACGTCTATTCTCTGTAAGCGGTTCTCTCCAACGGCCTGGAAATAAACAAAAAAGAAAACTCACTTTTCCTTGTTGGAGCTTTAGTTGAGAGTCAGCGG